CTCTATGGTGCCGCTCTGAAAACGCCCGGCCGGCGATTGCGGTGCAGTTGCGGGGCGTTTGCGGAGCGTTAACACCATTCAAACTGCATTATAGGCGTTTGTGGGGAGTTTTTAACGCTCGGCAAATGCCTAGCAACTGCCACTAAACCGCGCATGCGGTGTTTGCGGAGCGTTAAAAAAACGCTCCACAAATGCCGGACCAACGCTTGCCAAACGCTATGGGGCGTTTGGAAAGTGTTGGTAAAACAGTCAAGTGTGAACGAGCCCTAAAAAAACAGAAAAAAGAAAAAAAAAAAGGAAAGAAAAAAGAACCACCTTTAGTCAGTACTGTACCCAAATGCCAGAAATGTACCATCTACACACTTTCATTATCAAGAAAAGATATACACAACAGAATAACAGATCACTTTCAGTGGATTTTGTGCAAACAGAGAAGTGGACTGGCCAAAACTGAAAAATAAAAATGAAAATAATAAAGAAAATGAAAAAAAAAAAATCAAAATATAAATGAATAATGAATTGAAATAAAGTGAATGTTACTCAAAGAAATGGGCAACATGCCATTCAGTATTTAACCCTTGAGGGATACGAATCTGTAACTAAAAAATCCAGAACGTTTCCCTTTTTGCACAAAAGACAGAAAGCATCCCCCCCCCCATACAGGGGTTTGAACTCTTTCTATCACTTGAGCACCAATCACAGAACAATCCTCTTCATGTAAGGAATTGAAGTGTTTAGACACATTAGTAGAACGATTGTTCCTCATGTCGCCCAACCTGTCTTTCAATCTCCTGCTTGTCCGTCCCACATATTGTATGTGACAAACATTGCAAGTGATCAAATAGATCATATATTTGGTGTTACAGTTAAAACATCGCCAAAATCCGCACGTTCCTAACCCCAGAAACCACTAAACAGCTCATCCACTCCTTCATCATATCACGACTCGACTACTGCAACTCCCTCCTCACTGGCCTGCCTCGCCGCTGGGTATCCCCGCTTCAGTCAATCCTGAATACGGCTGCCAGACTCATTCACCTTTCCAACCGCTCCGTTCCGCCACCCCCCTCTGCCAATCCCTCCACTGGCTTCCGATTGCGCAACGGATCAAATTCAAAATCCTAACACTGACGTACAAAGCCGTCCACCATACTGCCCCGAACTACATCACTGACCTAATATCCAAGTACCACCCAACACGCACACTCCGCTCCTCACAAGACCTCCTTCTCTCTAGTTCCCTGGTCTCCTCCTCCCATGCCCGCCTCCAGGACTTCTCCAGGGTGTCACCCATCCTCTGGAACTCCCTGCCCCAACCCATCAGATTATCACCTACTCTCCTCTCCTTTATGAGCACCCTGAAAACCCATCTCTTCAGGGAAGCCTACCCCACCCCCTGCTAACCTGCCGACCTCCTCCACTCCTCCTACCACTCCATCCCCCACAGCTATCTCCTCCTGTGCCACCATCCCCTCCCTCCTAGATTGTAAGCTCCAAAGAGCAGGGCCCTCAATCCCCTCATGTTTTGCATTGTATTGTTATTGTTCTGTCACATGTTCTGTCCCCCTTTGTAATGTACAGCGCTGAGCGAACTATTGGCGCTTTATAAATACTGTATAATAATAATAAATAATAATAATAATAGTTTGGAATATATTTCCATTAGAAGTAGAGCAAAAACTGTTCCCCATAACTATGCGGGAACAGGAAGGACAATCTAAGGCACCACATCTAAAGTTTTCTTTGAAGTGGAGCCAAGTAGTTGATTGAATTGGCATCGGATTGAAAAAACTGGGAGAAAGAGCTTTACCTAAAGAGGGTGCCCTTCCAGGAATAATATTTATTTATTTATTTCAGGTACTTATATATCGCCGTCAATTTACGCAGCGCATTACATATATATTGTACATTCACATCAGTCCCTAACCCTCAAGGGGTGTACAATCTAAGGTCCCCAACTCAGTCATACATACACATACTAGGGACAATTTAGACAGGAGCCAATTAACCTACCAGCATGTCTTTGGAGTGTGGCAGGAAACCGGAAAACCCGGAGGAAACCCACGCAGGCACAGGGAGAACATGCTAACTCCAGGCAGGAGGTGCCGTGGCTGGGATAATATTAATACCTTTATTGAGAATTTTAGAACAGGTGTCATCATTAGATAAAATTGACAAATATCTATTAATATTAGTCACTTGTCCAAATTCTGAACTATAAGACAGAACCAAAGAAGGACAACTGCATTTATCCAATTGTTTTTTCCTAGTATCTGTAAGCAGCTCAGATCTGTCTTTCTGTTTTGCAATTAAGTAGATATAGTTACATAGTTAGTCTGGCTGAGAAAAAAGACAAAAGTCCATCCAGTTCAACCATAAAAAAAAAAGAAGTTATAATCCTACACCCACAGTTGATCCAGAGGAAGGCAAAAAACCCAGCAAAGCATGATCTAATTTGCTCCTGCTGGGAAAAAAATTCCTTCCTGATCCCCCGAGAGGCAATCGGATATTCCCTGGATCGACTTTACCTATAAATGTTAGTATCCAGTTATATTCTGTGTATCCAAGAAACAATCCAGGACTTTTTAAATCAATCCACTGAGCTGGCCAGAACCAACTCTTGAGGAAGTCTATTCCACATTCTCACAGCTCTTACTGTGAAGAAACCTTTCCATGTTTGGAAATTACATTTCTTTTCCTCCAGACGTAAAGAGCGCCCCCTTGTCCTCTGTGATGACCCCAGGGTGAATAACTCTACGCCGAGTTCATTATATGAACCACTGATGTATTTATACATGGAGATCATATCCCCCCTTATGTATTATACATGGAGATCATATCCCCCCTTATGTATTATACATGGTGATCATATCCCCCCTTATGTATTATACATGGAGATCATATCCCCCCTTATGTATTATACATGGTGATCATATCCCCCCTTATGTATTATACATGGAGATCATATCCCCCCTTATGTATTATACATGGTGATCATATCCCCCCTTATGTATTATACATGGAGATCATATCCCCCCTTATGTATTATACATGGAGATCATATCCCCCCTGATGTATTTATACATGGAGATCATATCCCCCCTTATGTATTATACATGGTGATCATATCCCCCCTTATGTATTATACATGGTGATCATATCCCCCCTTATGTATTATACATGGTGATCACATCCCCCCTTATGTATTATACATGGAGATCATATCCCCCCTTATGTATTATACATGGAGATCATATCCCCCCCTTATGTATTATACATGGAGATCATATCCCCCCTTATGTATTATACATGGTGATCATATCCCCCCTTATGTATTATACATGGTGATCACATCCCCCCTTATGTATTATACATGGAGATCATATCCCCCCCTTATGTATTATACATGGAGATCATATCCCCCCTTATGTATTATACATGGAGATCATATCCCCCCTTATGTATTATACATGGAGATCATATCCCCCCTGATGTATTTATACATGGAGATCATATCCCCCCTTATGTATTATACATGGTGATCATATCCCCCCTTATGTATTATACATGGTGATCATATCCCCCCTTATGTATTATACATGGTGATCACATCCCCCCTTATGTATTATACATGGAGATCATATCCCCCCTTATGTATTATACATGGAGATCATATCCCCCCCTTATGTATTATACATGGAGATCATATCCCCCCTTATGTATTATACATGGAGATCATATCCCCCCTTATGTATTATACATGGTGATCATATCCCCCCTTATATATTATACATGGTGATCATATCCCCCCTTATGTATTATACATGGAGATCATATCCCTCCTTATGTATTATACATGGAGATCATATCCCCCCTTATGTATTATACATGGAGATCATATCCCCCCTTATGTATTATACATGGAGATCATATCCCCCCTTATGTATTATACATGGAGATCATATCCCCCCTTATGTATTATACATGGAGATCATAGCCCCCCTTATATATTATACATGGAGATCATATCCCCCCTCATGTATTATACATGGAGATCATATCCCCTTTATGTATTATACATGGAGATCATATCCCCCTTATGTATTATACATGGTGATCATATCCCCCCTTATGTATTATACATGGAGATCATATCCACCCTTATGTATTATACATGGAGATAATATCCCCCTTATGTATTATACATGGAGATCATATCCCCCCTTATGTATTATACATGGAGATCATATCCCCCTTTATGTATTATACATGGAGATCATATCCCCCCTTATGTATTATACATGGAGATCATATCCTCCCTTTTGTATTATACATGGTGATGATATCCCCCATTATGTATTATACATGGAGATCATACCCCCCCTTATGTATTATACAAGGAGATCATATCCCCCCTTATGTATTATACATGGAGATCATATCCCCCCTTATGTATTATACATGGAGATCATATCCCCCTTATGTATTATACATGGTGATCATATCCCCCCTTATGTATTATACATGGAGATCATATCCCCCCTTATGTATTATACATGGAGATCATATCCCCCCTTATGTATTATACATGGAGATCATATCCCCCCTTATGTATTATACATGGTGATCATATCCCCCCTTATGTATTATACATGGAGATCATATCTCCCCTTATTATACATGGAGATCATATCCCCCCTTATGCATTATACATGGAGATCATATCCCCCCTTATGTATTATACATGGAGATTGTGACGGGAGTCACTTTGGGTCGGGGGCCTATGGAACACAGCCCCCTTTAAAGAGGTGGGGAGACCCCTGTCTCAGCTCCCCATATCCCTCTTATGTGTAAGTCACCCTGTGCCTATTAGGGGTACAGGGTGGGGAATGTCCTGCTATTGTGTAAACAGACACACAATAGAACAATGGGATGCAGCCAAATGGCAGTGAACAATGAACAACCCCACCTATACATGTCTACACAATAGCAGGACATTCCACCCTGTACCCTAACAGGGACAGGGTGCTTACACATAAGAGGGATATGGGGAGCTGAGACAGGTGTCTCCCCACCTCTCTAAAGGGGGCTGTGCTCCATGGGCCCCCCACCCAAAGTAACTCCCGTCACATATCTCCCCTTTCGGCAGGAGACTAACGCAGGAGTAAACCCCTGACGGGTGGACTCTGAAGTTAGTTTCTGTACTTCCAGTCCCCCAATGCCAGCACCCACACAGTACCCCAAGCATATTGTCCCAAACATAGCATTACTCACCCAGCCAACCTCTGCCTCTCTCGTAGAACATACCCGCCGCTCAGGAGAAGTCCTTCTCCCTGAAGTCCTCTCAGCCGCTGGAGAGAAGATAGGGTGGTTGGGCCAACTCCATCATGCTGTTGGGGATCTGGGCCGACTGCCCAGCATCCCTGGGGTATCCAGGTGGTGACTGTAGTCTCATCCACTTTGACTTGATGGACATCCCCCAGTGTTTGCAAAGTAAGGCTGACATCCTCTTGTCCCAACGCCAGACCCTTTTCTTGGGTTGTGTCAGTGGAGACCGAAGTCCCATCCACAGACATCAGCTCAAGCTGCCGTTGTGAGGTGCCGAATGCATCCTCTTCCTGTAGCTCCTGCGGTGCTGATTGTTGTGGGCAGAGGTAATCCACGCCATGCCCTGGTGCCAGCTCTTCTGCTGGAGGCACGCCGGCTGGTTCCTTCTCAGCAGAAAAGTCAATCAAATCCCCAGTCTCTGGAACTGGTGTCTGGGGATAGGGGTTCACCATATCCTGTCCATGGAGCCCAGAAGAGGTTACCAGTGCTGGGCAGAGTTCAGTAATGTTTGGCTCCCCTTAATCTCTTCTTCTCAAGAGAGAATACATTCATTTCCTCTAATCTTTCCTCATAGCTGAGCTCCTCCATGCCTCTTATTGGTTTGGTTGCCCTTCTCTGTACTTTCTCCAGTTCCCCATACATATATATGTACATATATACATGTATTGCATATGCTGTATATGTAGTAATACTTTGGGTTTTGAGCGTGAATCACAATTATAGTTCCAATGGTTTACGGAGAGGGGATGTCCTAAGTGGGCCCTTGATAGAGCCTACTTAATTGCAAAACAGACAGATCTGGAAATGCTTAAAGATTTTAATTCTGCTACAGCGTTGCCAGTGCAGCCAACCTTTGTTTCTCGGCACTGTCCTCTACTGAACAGAAGTGATCCAGAATTTCAGGTGACATTATTTTAAGACAAAATCTGACCCTAATTTCAGTGTTATATAGTATATGTAATGCCCTTCAGGTTAGTTAGGTAGGTTTTTGTTAGATAAAGATTGAGTAGCAGCCTGGGGATGAGTCAACTTAGGGAGAGAGGTAGTGAGGTTACCTCAGTACAGATTGGGAGGCTCTAACAGGTCAGGGCTTCTGGAGCCCTTTTACCTTTCTAGAAACCTGAGAGCTTTCTGGAGGATGGGTGGAGGTCCAAATTTGCAAATTTGAGGGACCCTGGCCAATCCCCTGGCAGGAGGCTGGGCATGGTGTCTAAGGCAACCCTTAAAAGTGGTAGAGCCTGTGCAGCAGAGTCAGTAAGTGTTGGGTGGAAGATGTGAGGAGTTGGAGTTTGGAGCCTGGGAGGGGGCCCAGGGAAGGAGCCTACCTACAGGCAGGTGCTGGAGAAGAGGATCTCCACTGTGCCACCATCTCCAAGGAAGGACATCCTGAGCAGCAGGGAAGGAGCCAGCCCAGAGAAAGGCCTGACGGCAGCCACCAACCCACCAAGCTGACAGGAAAGGACAGTGTGAGTACTCTTGCAATCCCTGGGCTAGAAAAGGGGAGAGGGAAGTCAGGTGGAAAACCCAACTAGCTTCTCATCCGGGACTGTTGTTTTAAATTGGCGGTTCTGGGCCCCTTGCCCAGGGATACCCTCAAGGCAGCTGAGTGAAGAGGAGGAATTATCTAGAGTCTGAGGTTGTCCACTGAAGGGGCTTTAGCACCCTTTAAAGAGGGACTGTTGTTATTTATATTTGTGTTCATAGTTCCTTAGGCATCCCATAAACCTCTAAACCCCATCCAAGTTTTAAACCCCTAAACAAAATCATAAAAACAAACTCAAGGACTGTTTAATGACTCCTGTGTGCAAAATGTAGCAAAAAGTGTGTGTTGCCTGGCTGTGTAGAGCTGTAGGGGGACCCAAATCTCAGTGACTTCTAAGGGGGTAGTGCTACATATATAGTTTTATTCCCAAAATGCTTGTGGGGGGAGTTGACCAGTTTCTAACTTATCTATGCTTCTGCTATTGCCTGAGCACCCTTAGCTTAACTGCCAGTGTCACCAGGTCCCACCATTCTGTCTTAGTGTCCCTGGTGGAATTTGTAAAGGAAGTGACTTAAACTGTTTTATACTCTATCATCTTATCAGGCCAGGCTGTCAGGAGTTTTCCAAAATATTCTGCACAATTTTGCCTTATTTGCTCTGTAATTCACATTTCTTGGAGTCTAATCTCTGTTGACTTCATCGGAACTTCCAGTTGGTAAATTCCAAAGACTGGCAAACAGCTGAACCACAACTGATATCGATTTTCAGAAGCTTGCTTATCTCTCCTATTGAAGGCAAGCAACTGATACTTTTAGAAGGCCAGTATTAACAAATTTCTCTTATGACAGGTGGACTTTAGGTAGGTAAAAAATTATCTGCTGTTACGCTGCTCTTGAAGCAAAGTGCTTATTTTAAAGCTATATTTGCCGTGTTTAGCTGATGTGGAAATTTGGAAGTCACTTTCATATTTCTTTCCCGCTTTCCCTTTACTCATTTTTTATGGCTTTAGATACAAAATTGTAGATTAACCACTAGAGGGAACAGTCATGGGATCAGTGCTACCACATTCCTTCCGGCTTAAAGTATAAACTTTACCAGTAAGTAATTTTCAGTATTAAACAAACGGATTGTTGTCATTGATGGGAAAATGAATTCCAGAGTTTATCAAGACATTTTGCAGGAAAACGTACGACCATCTGTCCGCCAACTGAAGCTCCGCAGAGGATGGGTGATGCAACAGGACAATGACCCAAAGCATACAAGTAATTCAACAAAACAATGGCTGCAACAGCACAGAATACGCCTTCTGGAGTGGCCCAGTCAGAGTCCTGACCTCAACCCGATTGAAATGCTGTGGCATGACCTTAAAAGAGCAATTCACACCAGACATCCCAAGAATATTGCTACACTGAAACAGTTTTGTGAAGAGGAGTGGTCCAAAATTACTCCAGATCGTTGTGCAGGTCTGATCTGCAACTACAGGAAACGTTTGGTTGAGGTTATTGCTGCCAAAGGAGGGTCAACCAGTTATTAAGTCCAAAGGTTTACATACTTTTTCCTCCCTGCACTGTGAATGTTTACATGTTATGTGCAATTAAACCATGGCAACATCTAATGTTTGTGTAGTATTATGTTCAGCAGACTGTGTTCTTCTATTGTTGTGACTTAGATGACGTTCAGAGCACATTTTATGCCCAATTCATGCAAAACTCCACGTAATCCCAAGGGGTTCACATACTTTTTCTTGCAACTGTGTATATATATATATATATATATATATACTGCATGTTGAAATGCATTTTTATTACAAAATATATGAAAAATATTTTTAAAAACACATTTCAAATATACTGTATGTCTTCAAAAATACAAATCTAAATTTTTGGAATGCATTTACAAATATATGTAAAAATATATGCTAAAATGACTTTTTTATATGTTACAAAAATCTGAACAATACCAAGCCACATGCCCTCATCATGGGGGGGGTGCTTTGGCGCAGAGGGTCTCTGCCCAACAACCGATGGTTGTGTGGGTCTGCGAGCGGGGGGCTTATCGGAATCTGGAAGCCCCCTTTAATGAGGGGGCCCCCAGATCCCAGCCCCCCCATGTGAAGAAGTATGGGGTATGTGGTAACGCTACTCATTCACAAAAAAAAAGTAGTGGAAAAATGACAGGCAACAGTCTTTGACAAGTCCTTTAAAAAAGAAAAAAGAAAAAAAAAGTCCCCCGAAGTGGATCCAGAGTCATTCACAATGTCTGCCACCACCGTCGACCAGAAAAAAGAAAAAAAAAAAAGTTCTGCTCTCGACGCTGGCTCCCGCCGTCTGACAGCAGCACTAGGATGACAGTTCTAAATACTGTGATGATGTCCCAAGGGGGAGGGGGGGGTGTCACACCTGCCCCCATGCGCTGTGATTGGCCAAAGCATTGTGATTGGCCAAAGGTGCATTGCTTTGGCCAATCAGGGCACAGTGCATTGTGGGTGCGGCGGGCGAACAGCCCACTGAACGCCATTACCGTTCGTGTGTTCGCCAAACACACAGATGGCTGATGTTCAAGTCGAACTTATGTTTGACTCGAACATCTAGCCCATCTCTATTGTCAGCCTGGCACACACTGTCCCAGTGGTGGCTGCAGTGGCCATGCAGATGCACTTTACATAGGCATGCTTTGCTTTTGTCACCTTTGGGTAGCCCTGCCTGAGAAATGTCTTGCAGCCATCGCCCACAATTAGAGTGCATTGCTTTCAATGAGTCAGCTGACCCAAAGCCTTTCACTATGGAAAGGAGCAGTAAAACACAACCATTGTGTAGCAATGGAAGCAGGAAGCAGACCATGAGTATGCAAGAAGCAATACATAGTGTATATATATATATATATATATATATATATATATATATATATATACAGTGGGCCAAAAAAGTATTTACTCAGCCACCAATTGTGCAGGTTCTCCCACTTAAAAAGATGAGAGAGGCCTGTAATTGGCATCATAGGTAGACCTCAACTATGAGAGACAAAATGAGAAAAAAAATCCAGACAATCACATTGGCTGATTTGGAAAGAATTTATTTGCAAATTATGGTGGAAAATAAGTATTTGGTCAATATCAAAAGTTCATCAATACTTTGTTATATATCCTTTGTTGGCAATGACAGAGGTCAAACGTTTCCTGTAAGTCTTCACAAGGTTGGCACACACTGTTGCTGGTATGTTGGCCCATTCCTCCATGCAGATCTCCTCTAGAGCAGTGATGTTTTGGGGCTGTCGCTGTGCAACACAGACATTCAACTCCCTCCAAAGGTTTTCTA